CCCTTTCGACATGATGAACTAGTCCTCTCTATTCCCAATAAACCTCTTTATCTTGCGGCCTATTTTGCTTGATGTTAATAAACACTCTAGGTTTCTCACAGTTAATGGTTCCACGTGCAGTGGGTTAAATAGTGTTCCCCCTAAATTCACTTCCACCTGAAACCACAGAATGTGACCTAATTTGTAAATCGTATTTGCAGATTGTAATTAAAGTAAGGATCGAAATGAGATCACATTGGATTAGGATGAGCTCCACATCCAGTAAGACTGAACTTACAAGGACACACAGGGACAGAAGAAAGAAGGCCATGCAAAGACAAAGCAGAGATTGCAGTGATGCTGCCACAAGCCAAGAAGTGCTAGGGGCCACCAGAGGCTGAAAGAGGCCAAGAAGCTCCTCCCCTAGAGCCCTCAGAGGGAGTGTGGCCTTGCCAACAACTCGACTTTGCCTTCTGGTCTCTAGAACTGTGAGATAATGAATTTCTGTTGTTTTAACCTTCTCAGCTTGTAGTAATTTCTGACCACAGCCCTCGGAAATCAATGTAGCATGTACCTTAGTAAGTTCATGGTGCTACAACATAATATCATGGACTGAGTGACTTAACAATTTATTTTACCTCAGTTCTAGAAGCTGCCAGTCCAACATGAGAATGCCAGGTGGCTGTTCTCTGGTGGGGTCCTCTTCCTGGTGAGTAGATGGCCACCTCACTGCGCCCTCTCATGGCAGGAACAGTGTAAGCAAGCTCTCAGGTGTCTCTTCTTATAAGGGCACTTAGCCCATCACGGGACCTCACCCACAGGACCTCACCTAACTCTAATTACCTCCCAAAGGCTCCATCTCCACAAACCATCACACTGGGGGTTAGGACTTCAACATATGAATTTGAGAGACACACATTCAGTCCATAACACCATGGTATATATTTTCATTCTTTTTACTAATAACCTACTTGCGTCTGTATTTAAGGTTTGTTCCTTATAAACAGCACTGAGTTGGGTCTTTTTAATCCACTCTGACATTCTCTGGTCCTTTATTTTGGGGTGGGGGTGGCAGTTACTCCATTTATTTTTAATTATAGTTGAATTTAAATCTGCCACTTTGATATTTGTTTCCATTTCAGTTCATTTGTTTCCCTCTGCTCCTCCTTTCTTTGGGTGTAATTGAATCTTGTTGGTATTTCAGTTGCATTTCCCTATTGGCTTTTAAGACATACTACTTTGCATTATTTTTTAGTGGTTGCTGTAGGGCTGCATTTTACCAAATGATACCTACTAACTAATGTGGCTATTTAATTTAAAATTTAAGCTAATTAAAATTATATAAAATTAAAATTTAGTTCCTTAGTCACAAAACCCACATTGCAAGTGTTCAATGAATATGTGTGACTAGCAGCTATCTTATATATGACAAAGCAGTTATAGACTATTTCTAACACTGCAAAAAGTTGTACGGGTAATTTATCACAATTGACTTACAGTTAATATACTATTTAACATAAAATATTGGAATTTTGTGAGAATATAATTCCTTTACCCCCATCTTTTGCAACATTTTCATGTATTTCACATATATTTCATCTATATACATCATCAGCCCACAATACTAACATTTTTTTCTTGAAGAGGAATATGATTTTTTAGGTTTAAAAGGAAAGAATATGGCCGGGTGCGGTGGCTCACGCCTATAATCCCAGCACTTTGGGAGGCCGAGGCAGGCGGATCACGAGGTCAGGAGATCGAGACCATCCTGGCCAACATGGCAAAACCCTGTTTCTACTGAAAAATACAAAAAAATTAGCCGGGCTTGGCGGCAGGCGCCTGTAGTCCCAGCTGCTCGGGAGGCTGAGGCAGGAGAATGGCGTGAACCTGGGAGGCGGTTGATCATTGTTTTTCAGCAGTTCACCTGTGTTGTTCTAGTGCCTTTTGGCCTTTATTGTTTCTCGTAAAAAGCTAACATTATTCATATGTTGTTTATCACACATAATGTCTCTTTTTTCTTTAGCTGCTTTTACAATTTTCTCTTCATATTTGGAGTTCAGCAGTTTTACTATATGTACTTAGGTCTGATTTTCTATGTATTGGTCCTGCCTGTGGTTCATTGGGTTTCTTGGATTTATAAAGTCTTTTACCAAGTATCAGAAATTTGAAGCCACTATTTCTTCCAAAATTTTCTTTTTCCTCATTTGCTAAGACTCTACACTTATATTCGACCAGATTATGTTGACGAACAGGTCTCTGAAGATCTGTGTGTTTTTCTTCTACTGCTTTTCTTCCATCTGTTTTTCAGATAGGACTATTTCCATCGATCTATTTTATAGTTCCTCAGTTTATTCTGTCTTCAATCTGCTGTTAGGCACCTCCAGTGCATTTTTACTTTAGTTATAGTAATTTTCAATTTCAGTATTTCCATTTATTTCTCGTTATGCTTCAGTTTCTCTGCTGAGATTCTCCATTTGCTCATTTATTATGTGTATTATTTAAAATAGGTGAACATATTTTTAATAGTTGCTTTAAAATCCTTGTCTGCTAATTGTTGCAGCTGAGTCACCTAGGCATCAATTTACATCACACTTTGTGGGTCATATTTTCCTGTTTCTGTGCATGTCTAGTGTTTTTTTGTTTGACACTGAACATTATGAATGATGTAGAGATTTTGAGTTGTTTTATTTCTCTAATGAATGATTTTTGTTATGTACTATAAAAAGTTCACTTGGCTTGACTCAGACTCCAAACAAACTCTGTCTCCCCTGAAGTGAGAAGCAACTGAAATCTTTGTTGTTTTAGGTTTTCTAGTATTTCGTCAGGCCACTGGGGTCTCCCCATCCGTCGTTGTTCAGTGATCTGCCAAAGATTTGAGGAGATTCAACACACGGATGTGTGGGGCTCACACCTCTGAAATGTCTTCCCTTCTAGGATTTCACTGCTAATGGTCTGGTTTTTCTCCCAGCTCCAAATTGTATTCTCTGACATTTCAAGCCAGAAAGTACAGCCAGCTTCATGGGCCTGTGACCTGCATATTCATACAAGGGCCACACACATGGTTTGAAGTTCTGCTATCACTGTCTTGAAATTATTAGTTTTTCAATGAGGGGCCACATTTTACCTGATGTACTTAAGTATAAAAATCCATTCGAGGCCTGACGTGGTGGCTCACACCTGTCATCCCAACACTTTGGGAGGCCAAGGTGGAAGGATCCCTTCAGCCCAGGAGTTTCAGATCAGCCTGGACGACATAGTGAAACCTCGTCTCTACTAAAAATAAAAATTAAAAAAATTAGCCAGGTCTGATGGTGCACACCTGTAATCCTGGCTATTCTGGAAGCTGAGGCAGGAGGCTTACTTGAGCCCAAGAGTTCTATATTGCAGTGAGCTTTGATCACGCCACTCCATTCCAGCCTGCATAACAGAGAGAGATCCTTGGGTCTCAGTTTCTTCAAAAGCCTTTCCTGCCTCTCACACGACTCTTCCCCACCCCGATTTAAACAGGACCTTCCCTTACACTCTGAGAATCCTGGTTTTCCCCTTCATGGCGTTAGCGTAATTTACAATTAACATATTTACCTGTGTTTTTATGATTGAGTATATTTCTATCTCACTAGTCTATAAACTCCATGAGGACCCATGTCTGCCTCACCCAGCACCAACAAGGATGCCTAGCATACTGCAGGCACTTAATTAAATGGACAAATGGACAGATGGATGAGTGAATGAATAGTGAAAATGACAATGATATTTAGTAACTTTTTCTATTTTCCCAAGTTAGATTTTCTATAATCCTTTCTTTTGCTCACATATCTAAAAGTATGCCATAATTTTAGCAAAATTTGGGGAACAATGTTACGTCAAAAGCAGTACACGTATGCACATTTGTTATTAGCAGGACCCCCAAAAGAAATGTGAATGCCGGATTTCCAACTTCTTGATTTAAAAATGTAATCCAGGCCCGGCGCGGTGGCTCACGCCTGTAATCCCAGCACTTTGGGAGGCGAGGTGGGTGGATCCCTTGAGGTCAGGAGTTCGAGACCAGCCTGGCCAACATGGTGAAATCGTCTCTACTAAAAATGCCCAGAAAAAAAAAAAAAAAGAAAGAAAAAGAAAAATTAGCTGCGAGTGGTGGTGGGCGCCTGTAGTCCCAGTTACTTAGGAGGCTGAGGCAGTAGAACCACTGGAACCGGGGAGGTGGAGGTTGCAGTGAGCCGTGATCGCACCACTGCACTCCAGCCTGGGCGACAGAGCCAGATTGTCTCAAAAAGAAAAAATGTAATCCAATGTAGTATTTACATCTAGTGCCAACGGGTGCAGTGCATACTGCGCTGCATGCTACGTTTCATTAAACAGCCTAATCTGGTGTGTTAATGAGAGATGTATTTAACTATCAGTTATAATATTCCATGTCATTTTCCCGGAAATCAAGGAACACATCTTACAGCAGGTTAAATCAAGGAACACATCTTACAGCAGGTTATTCACAAGCTATATTGAAATGTTCACCTGTTGCAGAAGCTCTACAAGATGCTGTGCATTCAGTGGGAAATAACCGGAGACATGGGACCTCTGGCGGGCTTGTTTCTCAGCGTCATGGAGAGAGCGCACCCAGTCTGAAGGCGCATCTGCTCCTCTCTGCGCTATACTGTGGATTAAGAAAATACAGTGTACAATCTCATATTCTCATTTCAGCAAATATAAATAGTACATGGCAACTATATGTGCTCGGTTTTCATTTTTAAGGGTGGAAATTGTTGAAAATGGTGTCGTGGACCAGACTCCAGAATTGGAGATTTTGTAGAGGTCAAAGGTATAGTAGTATTAAAGTAGTGATAAAGAGTGTGCGGGCATGTGTGTAAGATAATGAGCAGAAAAGGGAGTGGCAAGGTGCAGAGATCTCTGCAAGCAATGGATTGGGGAAACTGAAGGCTTTAAAGCCACGGTCGCTATCCCTGCACCCAGCTTTCCGTCCTCAGTTACTATGACCCAAGATCAAAGCCACCCTGGTTTTCTAATTGCCGCAACTGCGGCTCCAGGTGCTGACTGCACAGCCACTGCGGTACTGTCCGCAGCTGCGCGCCGGGCTCAGTCGGCATTATTTACGGTACAGAATACTCGCCCGCGCGGCAGTATTTACGGTAACGAAAGCCAGCTGTATTTACGGTAGCGAGGGCTGGACCGGCGACGGCATTTACGGTAACGGGGCCGGGCTCGCTGAGGCCCGTCGGCTTGGCCCGCTCTGGGCGTTATCAAGTGATCTCCAGCCAAGGCGGCCGCCACCCCCTGCACCCAGCGGAAAATGCAAAATGGCCCTCTGGGGCAGTGAGGGGCCGTGGCCCTCGGCCCGGGCCTGCCGCACCCCCTTCCCGCAGCTGGCGGCCGGCAGCGCTGAACAGGGTCCGGGTGTAGCCCCCTCTCGCCCCTCCGCAGGGGCGCCGGCCTGAACTGGGCGCGGGAACCAGGCCGCCCTCGGCGCCCAGCCCGCCCTAGTCCCGCGCGCCGCCCCCGCCGTGCCGCGCCCACATGGGTCTGTGCTACAGTCTGCGGCCGCTGCTTTTCGGGGGCCCAGGGGACGACCCCTGCGCGGCCTCGGAGCCCCCGGTGCAGGACACGCAGCCCGCCCCGGCCCCGGCCCCAGTCCGGGCGGCCGCAAGGGACACGGCTCGGACCTCGCTCCCTCGGGGCGGCGGCGGGAGCCCGGCATGCGCTCGGCCCAAAGCAGACAAGCCGAAGGAGAAGCGGCAGCGCACCGAGCAGCTGAGCGCCGAGGAGCGCGAGGCGGCCAAGGAGGCGAGGAAAGTGAGCCGGGGCATCGACCGCATGCTGCGCGAGCAGAAGCGCGACCTGCAGCAGACGCACCGGCTCCTGCTGCTCGGTAGGTCCCGGCCGCGCGGTCGGCTCACGCCCCGGGGACAGCGCGCCGGGCCCGCGGGGTTGGTGGGCGCCGGGGAGCGGCGGCGGGAGGGGCTCCTGAATCCCGGGACTGGACCCGGACGGGGGCGGGCGCGGGCCGGCTGCGGAGCGTTTAAACTGTGGGGGGAATGGCTCCCCTGACCTGGCCGGGAGGACGCTACGGGCCGGTTCTGCCGCTCCCAGTGCCTTGAGCTTTTCCTGCCGCTCGCTCGCTCGCTCTCATTACTGAGCCTCTCTGGGAAGTCTCGCCCTCGACTGAGCGCCTTCCGCAGGGTCTGATCCCCGGGGATGTCTACCCTGGCCTCTCACTTCCTGCTGCACGCGGAGGCTGGCGGTCTGTTTTCAGAACACAGATGAAAGGAGATGGATAAGGCCTTTTAGCTTGACCGCAAAGCTTTTATTCCACAGTGTTGTGGGTGGGTGTGGCCTGCTGCCTTTTGAGAAAGAACTTGAGCTGCACTTGGGTTTTACTGTGGAGGAAGATCAACCCCGGCTCGGGGAGGTTTGCTCCGCTGGAGAACCAGCGGCACGAGGGAGTGGCGGCCCCGGCGTGCTCTCTGTGTAACCGCGTGCAGGAGGCGGGCGCCGAATCCCGGCGTTTTCCAGGAACAGATGCTTGCTCTCCTAGTAGTATTTTTCAGAGCTTACCTATAGCAAGTACGTGTGCTCCTACAACAATCAGAAAACATGGTTGTATGCACTCTACCGTACAATGAAAAAAAAAAAATCACGATTTCCTGATACTACTTGTTGCCTTTTAAATTTTAAGACGAAATAATAATAATTGGGCTTCTGATGGCAATTTTGTGAGATGTAAGGAAGAATAGTCGTTCAGGTTTGTGGTCTCTGCTATACATGGGAGAAGGAGCTATTCCATGGTTTTAGCAAGATGCCTGCTTATAAATGAATGCAACTTTCATTTAAGATCTAGAAGACAATAAATACTGAGTTTGAGAGGACTTGTCCACTGCACTGCAAGAATGAATAATTTAAAACAACATAAACCTAGCTGTTGTATCCTGGTGAATGAAATATCTAATTTTTAAAGCAAAGGGAAATGTTTTTGAAGAAACAACAAAAACCAGTAAATACGCAGGTTATCTCAAACAGCGACGTGGGCTGAGCAGTAGCAGAGCTGCCCCCTCCAGTGCTCACCTGCAGAATATCGCAGAGCACACGTTTCCAGAGGTCTGAGGATACAGAAGTGTAACTTTAGAATTTCATATCTTGTTAAACCGTTGTTGGTGTGTGAGGGTAAAATAAATCTTTGGATATGCAAGTATTCAAAGTATAGTCTCATCCACATATATTTCTGGAAGGAAACTTAAAAAAAAATAGAGACAGCGGCAGCTCATGCCTGTATCCCAGCACTTTAAGAGGCTGAGGCTGGCGGATCACTTGATCTCGGGAGTTCAAGACCAGCCTGGGTAACATGCTAAAACCCCGTCTCTACAAAAAATACAAAAATTAGCTGGGTGGTGTGCTGGAGACCCTGTCTCCAAAATAAATAAATGAATGAATAAAAATAAATAAATAAATTGAGACAAGTCTCACTATGTTGGCCAGGCTAATCTCAAACTCCTGGTCTCAAGTGATCCACCCACGTCAGCATTCTAAAGTGCTGAGATTACAGGCATGAGCCACCATGCTCGGCCTGGAAAGACGTTAATTGGAAATTACTTCAGCCAAAATTTTTTTAATGCATCAAATTAAAATAATTCAAAAAGGGGAGAATTTTTTTAAAGGGGAGAGAGAATCGTCATCTCAAGAAACTAACAAAAAACAAGGAGACAAATAGGATCAGGAGTTGTGACAACCCAACGTTGTTTTGATGTGATTATACAGTTGAACATAGTTTAAAAATAATAAAATGATATGGGAAGCAGAAAATGCTTTCTATATAATAAAAATTATTAGACTATGAATCTGTGAAAAACATGGGATGAGATATGGTCTGAAGAATAGAATGGTGAGCTCTAAAGAGTCAGCTTCTTGTAACACATTTGAAAGTACGCTTTGAAGACATCATCTCATAGCCTTATAGAGTTTATATATCAGCATCATAGCTAAAGTGACATAAAATCAAATGACTCACTTTTCAGGGAGAGTGTATTGTATCCTCCACCAATGATATCTACACTAAAACACATACTGTTACATGGGGTTGACATTGTTTATCCGATTTTATATAGATTTGAGTTAAACACACAAAGGTTCTTGATTTTATTAGGCTTTAAAATGGATTTAGCTGGAAAATTTTGAGTCAGAAACATGACTTATTGACCATTAATATCCTCGGATAATTGCTTCTGCTGCCATTGTGTGTAACAGCCATTTATTCTTGCTCACTGACCACATTCATTTGTTTATTCTGGAAATGTGTACCGAAAGCTGGGCATTGGGTTCAGAGACCTCAGACCCAGGGAAGGTGCACTCACTCCAGCAGTGTCCTTTTTTTTTTTTTTTTTTTTTAATCCCAGCACTTTAGGATGCTGAGGTGGGCAGATCACTTGAGGCGAGGAGTTCAAGACCAGCCTGGGCGACATAGTGAGACTATGTCTCTATTTTTTTTTTTGAGACAGGATCTCACTTTGTCACCCACTCAGGAGTGCAGTAGTGTGACCATGGCTCACTGTAGCCTGGACCTCCCCAGCTCAAGCAATCCTCCTGCCTCAGCCCCACAAACAGCTGGGACTACAGGTACACGCTACCACGGCTGACTAACTTTTGTATTTTATGTAGAGATGGGTTTTTACCATGTTACCCAGGATGGTCTTGGACTCCTGAGATCCAGTGATCCACCCGTCTTGGCCCACAGTGCTGGGATTACAGGTGTGAGCCATTGTGGCCAGTCAGGTGCTCTTTGTCACTCCATGCCTGCTAGTTTGAGGTGAGTCCCGTCTCCCATCATGATGAGTCCTCGAGGAGACCTTCCCAGAGTCCTCAAGGGGAAATAAAGGTTTAACTCCCGGTGTCCTGTGAATTATTTGTGCTCCTGTCATAGAGCACTTGGGTACATCTCTCCATGGGTGTCTTAGTACTCTGTCTCCCTCGTGGGGTCGATCCTGATGACTCAGCTTTCTTTCCTGCACAGGATGTAGCACCCCACACAATCCTCTGGCAACAACACAAGAATCTGGGAGCCACTGTGACTATGAGGAGATATGGTCCCATTTTAATTTTTAGGTGGAGCATGGTTGAAGCATGCCATGGCTGGATTTTAAGCAGGTGCAGAGGTAGGATGGAACTTTCCAGTTAGAAGGCAGTGGTCAAGATAAGGAATCATGGGGTCCAAACTAGAACAGTGTGGTATAGTAGGAGTGGGGAGCTCATGGGCTTGGGGAGCAGGTCGGATGACTGGGTGTAGAAGGCAGGCAATGAGAAGAATTCTCAGATAACTCTCATGGTCTTGAGCATGAGGAATGTGTTAGTCAGCTTGCTCACCTACCAAAATACAACAGGCTGAGTGACCAAAAACAGACATTTTCTCACAATTCTGGAGGTTGGAAGTCTAAGATCAGGGTGCCAGCGGGGTTGGTTTCTGGTGAGGGCTGTGTTCCTGGCTTGCAAACGGCCACCATCTCACAGTATCCTCACATGGCCGTTCCTCTGTGTGCACACAACAAGAGGGAGAGATCTCGGCTGTCTCTTCCTGCTCTTATGAGGACACTGTGGGATTAGGGCCCCACCTTTACGGCCTCATCTTACCTTAATTACCTACTTAAAGGCCCTATGTCCAAATACAGTCATATTGGGGGTTAGGGCTTCAACATATGAATTCAGGGGGATGGGAAGCATAATTCAATCCATAACAAGGGCTCAGGCAGGGAGTGCGTGCCCTGTCTAAAAGGGACAGCCGCATCCTAGCTTCATCCACTGTTGCCTTGTGAGAACACAAGCCCAAAGTTGCCAGGTTTTCAGAATTTCTGAAACCTACCTATTTTTAAGCATTTGCTCAAATTAATAAAATGTAATCTACATGGCTAACAGAGTCACGGGCTGCTGGCTCTTACCCCTGATCTGACCTAGGTCACACAGACTTTTCTGCAGGCTGTGCACTAGGCTTTAGGGGCTCACTCACATGAGAGACCATTGGCAGAGGCCCTGGGTCTACACCAATGAAAAGCATACTTGATGTGAATTGGTATGAATCAAAATATTTAATGTATGTAAATTCACGTAATGAGATCACACATCCTAGCAAATGGCATCCAGCCCCAGGTGCACACAGCCCTCTGTGACTGAGCCAGGATCAAGCCCAGGCAGGCTGACTTCGCCAAACAACATTAGCCAGTGGCTGTGAGGCCAGATGGAGGCAGCTGCAACAGTCCAGTCAAGAGATGTGAGGAGGCCAGGCGCGGTGTCGCACGCCTATAATCCCAGCGCTCTGGGAGACTGAGGTGGGCGGGTCACCTGAGGTCAGGAGTTGGAGACCAGCCTGGCCAACATGGTGAAACCCCATCTCTACTAAAAATACAAAAATTAAGGCCGGGCGCGGTGGCTCATGCCTGTAATCCCAGCACTTTGGGAGGCTGAGGCAGGCAGATCACGAGGTCAGGAGATCGCGACCATGGTGAAACCCTGTCTCTACTGAAAATACGAAAACTTAGCCACACACGGTGGAGGCGCCCTGTGGTCAGCTACTTGGGAGGCTGAGGCGGAATGGCGTAACCCGGGGAGCGGGCCTGCGAGGTTGAGCTGATGGATCGCACCAGTGCTCTCCAGCTGGATGACGACACAAGGAGGATCAGTTCTCAAAAGAAAAAAAAAAAAAAAAAAAACAACTAGCTGGTTACCAGCTAACTTTTAATTAGCTGGTGGTGGGTGCCTGTAATCCCAGCTTCTCAGGAGGCTAAGGTGGGAGTATCACTTGAATCCGAGAGGTAGAGGTTGCAGTGGGTTGAGATCGTGCCATTGCACTCCAGCCTGGGGGACAGAGCAAGACTCAGTCTCAGGAAAAAA